CCCCCTATATAGCCTTGTAACCATCATGTGCACAGTTTGATGCTATTTTTAAACCATTTGTCTTTCTGCACGCGCATTTACTGCGCGGGCTTTACGCTGTTTGCTTATGTTTTTAGGGTTTTTCCGTTATTTTAACTCTGCAATATGAATGTGCACGTCGAAAGCTTGGCAAATACGACAGGAAATTGAAAAACATAAGAAAAGAACAAGAAAACGTTAGCAAACAGCGTAGAGCGCGCGCGTACTATGCGCGTGCAGAAAATCAAACGATCAAATAAATGATAACATTGGATGATATTTTTAGAATAGATTCTAAAAATAGCATCAAAGTGTGCACATGATGGGGCACGAGGATCCCTTCTCTTAGTTCATATTCTCTTGCTCTTACTTTATGCGAACTCCACCTTACATCTGGGTCCTCCATCATCGAACACCTTGGTTGTTTCATTGTCGTCGAAGTCTTCCTCCAGTGGTTTGGAAGCCATGTCTTTGTATTCCTTGTAGTAACTTATGCTAGCTTTGTAGTTACTGTAGCGTGTTCTCCACACATATGCAGCCACGATGACCAGGACAATTATTAGGGATACTACTACTACTATAGGTATAATCACCTTAAGGTTTGCTCCTTCTTTCTCGTCATTCGCTAAGAATAAAAGTGAAAAAGTATTTAAATACAGTGAAGGCATGGGGTTGAATGGACCACTTCGTCTTGGTCCAATGCTATTTTTCATTACAGGCAAATTTTTCATTCCCTTTAAAATATAATTCTTTGTTTGAGTCGTGTCTATAGACTTGTTGCATGTGACGTCAAAGCAGCTCAATAGCCCACTTCAGAGATATGCTTTGCTTGTCACGCACAAAGGTTTCAGTATGAGGCTACGTGCTAAATTAAATTAATAGTCCCCTTCACAGTTCCCTTCGCCATCTTGAAAGGTAGCCGTGCCTTTGCATCGAAGCGAGACGAACGGTGAGCTTGCAATGATAGAGACATGTGAATTGTCCAAGGTGTTAAAAAAGGTCTCTATCATTGCAAGCTCACCGTTCGTCTCGCTTCGATGCAAAGGCAAGGCTACCTTTCAAGATGGCGCAGGGAACTGTGAAGGGGACTATTCTTACCGCCTGTCACGAATGACTGAGCATATAGCACGTAACCTCATACTGAAACCTTTATGCGTGACAAGCAAAGCATATCTCGGAAGTGGGCTATTTGGCGGACAAAACAAAAGAATTTTAATCTCATAAGAATTGGTAACCTATTGCTATGTCCTGCGCTGTGAGCTGCATATTCATGTATCTTCTTATGCGTAACCGTTAAACAAAGAAATGATACTCTTGGGAATGACGTGTGGTCTGAAAATGTAAACATTGCACCAAGACGAAGAGATCTATTCAATGTGGGCAACGTTGGAAACACATCAACAATAACTTGTATCCTAGCGCTTGGTGTCAACTGGAAGAATCTCTTAATGTCATTATTGGCAATGAATGGTAAGCAATATGCATTATGTAACCAAACTATATGCAACGGATCATAAGTAAAATGTAAAATGACATTTTTTCTGAAGAGCGATAAAAGTCAAGGCGTGTCCATAAACAACAGATCGAACCCTGAAACCTCTGGGCTGATCAAATTGAAGAAGGTGCGGCTAATTCGCAGATCAAATTGGATATTACCTCGATGTTGCAGAGGTATTGTGTTATGAGAGAGAAAATTAATGTTTTTACAGACTAAGCTAGACATCAGTTTTCTAATGACTATTTCTTATCATATGAAAACAAGTTAAAGAACGATCAATTAGTTATTGAAAATATCGATATAAGATTTCAGTAAGGCTGCCATCACGCACGAGTTTAGATGATGGTACGCTTTGAATTTACGAGTAAACCTCTTAGCTCCTCCCATTAGCATGTACACCTATGGTTACACCCTAAACACTCTTTACCCCTTTGCTTAGTTATTTTACCACTATTCTTTTAAATCTTATGTTATAATTATTCCTCGTAGACCTTTCTATACATTTACCATATATTCACATATTATCTTTGGTTTAAGTTGTGTTTAGTTCTATGATTTTCACTCGTATTATTCTTAATAAGATATCACACTCAGGAATTTACTATTTCCATTAGCCAATCAAGGCACAGCGATGATATCATATTGATTGTAGAATGACACATGTCATGAAGTTATTATAAATAGAGCTCATGTAATTAGTTTTAGTCAGAGTGAAGAGAAAGTGGAATAAAGATCCCGAGTAGCTCTTACCGAGAGCGGTCAATCCCATAACAATTGCTATGTAATATTTCCACTAACGACACTGGACTTCATATAACGATGACAGACTCAATGTACTAATGCACTAAAACTAACAGCAATTTCATCAAACCCTTAAACAACTTCTGGGCTAAAAACTTTCAAAAATCATGCGAGTCCTCCAAAATATTCTGCTCATATGTGGCACTGAGTCCAGGAATAATACCCAAGACGGCCAGAAGTGAAAGACGAGCACAGTACCGATACACCAACTCAATTTTGCACTGTCTCGTTCTTACCTGCCCGTTTGGCTGCAATTGCATTTTCTTGAGTCGTTGGCACAGCTTCTGTAGCATTTCCAGTCCCCTTTTGCGTGGGTTTTACAGATTCTTTGGTCGGTTTGCCAATGTTGTTAGATTTTGTTGTGGATTGAGGTGTTGTTGTTTGTGTTGTTGTTTGTGTAGTTGTTAAGGTTGTTGGGGAAGCAGTTGGTTGGCCAGTAAATGGTTTACCAATACAAGTCTTGCCATTGGATGACATGTTCATTCCAGTGGGACATTTGCAGGTGTAGGTTGTAGTCACAGAAGACAACAGACACAGATGACTACATCCCCCATTGTTGGGAGCACATGGATTGCTTCCTGCATGGGAAAATAGCAGCCAAAAATTCATTGAAGTTTGTAATTCACAGTCAACGTTATAGTCAAAAACAAAATTCTTGTCTCTTAACAAAAAACACAGACAAAAGAGAAAATCCCCCAAATTCCTTTTGACAAATTATTGCTTCTGAGCTCTTTTTCTTCCTAACATCCTTTATATCTGTGTATGAGAATATATCATATCTGTACTACGGTACTTGTAATGTATCAAATTGAGCTGATTCTCGCAGTATTTGAAGCAACTTATGCAGCTGCAAATTGAAAGACTCAGAAAAAATTCTGAGTCTTGAACGCGATTCTGGTGCCATGCTCTAACCACTGAGCTACCATTTATATCTCTAATGATGCAATGTGATTTCTTCTATATCAATATCTAGATTTATGTTACGTTTCCTTCTACTTAATATACTAATTGCAAGACTGCCACATATATATCAGGAGCAAGGGTTGACATAACAAGCAGTAACAACAGTCTGGTCGGATAAAACTGCAATTTAGTGTTGGAAATCTGTAAATTCCCCTTTTCCTCTCTTCCTATATTCTTTTCCCTCTATTTCCCTCGACACAATGATTTCTAGTTTCCAGTGAGCTCACTAACCATTAGGTTGTCTTGTGGGATGAACGGCTTTGATGTCCATATGAGCCCACAGCAGATTTATTACGATTTTCTTCTCCCCGCCAGTAAACTTATTGACTTTACGTATCGACCGGGCCCTCCTCGTCCAGTCCGTATAATACAGGTAATCGCCAAACACTGTGACAGCGAAGGGATGTTGGGATGGAATCCTTGCTACCAGTCTCCTGTCCGAGCCATCCAGCGACATAGACTCTATTGTCTTGACTTTTGCGTCCACCCAGAATACTCGATCAATGTTATAGTCAATAGTCAATCCGTTAACCCAGCCAATATTGGTGTTCACGAGGACTTGGCGGGAACTTGCAGCACCGTCCATGCTTGCTCGTTCAATACGTGCGTTGTAACCCCAGTCCGACCAGTAAACGTACCTGGATCGAACAAGTATATTTAAGTATATACTAGAGAGTTTGCCTAGTAGAGAAGACGCTGGTGGAAATTTCGTGTCTCTCTCCTTTGACACAGGAAGACCATGTAAATAATCTACCTGAATACTTACTTTCTAAATGGATCCACAGCAATTGCACGAGGATCATCCAGTCCCTCAGAATACAAGACCATTCTATTACTGCCATCAAGTTCAGCCACTTCGATAAAATTCAACGTTCCGTCAGTCCAGTACATCTTTCGTCCAATCCAATCGACTGCTATAGCGTCTGGAACGCTGACGTTACTTACGATATCTTCAATTGCTAGTTGAAATAGTTTTAAAAATTTTCGTTAGACCTCCTCCAGGATAAGGTATTATTCCAGGTTTCAGAAATAGTATATTTTAAAGTAATATCCTATACTTATTAATAATCCATAAGCTCAGCAACTGCAGTAGTTTGAAACCCCCATCAAATACGACCGCACCCATTTCGAAGTTCTAGTACTTTGAAATAAAAACAAACATAACAAAAAGAGTATAAGATGTCGTGTCAAATATTCGTCACTGTATTCTGCTACGCCTCGGCATTTATTCCACTCGGATTTTGAAACCCCAATAGAATACGGCAACTCGTATTTGAAACATTACTTCATTAAGGTGACTACTTACTTTTGAACGTTCGATTTGAGCTCACGATGTGCGCGCGCTCAAAAAAGGCTGAACAATCTAAAAGATTTTATTGAAGAACCATACGCGTTTTGGGCTTCAACAGGACAAAACCGTCAGATTTTCCACGGGACTCTATTTTTTAATAGCTTATTTGAATGAACTCCTAAAAATCTAAGTTATATCAACATTTTAGAAAAAGTTAAATATTCTAACACATGAAAAAATAGATTTTTGATAGATTTTTGGGAATTTTGTTCGACTTTATGAGATTTTATAAGAGCACCTAAACTACAAAATATGACAAATCAATGTATCTCTTTGTCTTTTTGTCGAAAATATCCACGTATTATTGTAGAATGATTGACTAGCCCTCATTCGTGCAATAATACAGTCTGGAAATAACTATTACCGTATTTATAGTACACTCAACAAAATTACTCGACTCTGATTGGTCGAGAGGAGTACAATTATAGCGTTAATTGTACTCCGTAGGAGTACCGAATTAAGTCGCTATAGCAACACGGCCAAAACAATGTCAAAACAATTATTTTCTATCATTTTGTACTTAAAAAACATATAAATAAAATTTTAAAGCCGTAAGAACTCATCTTGTTTATGCATTTCAGTTGCGCGATGGACTGAAAATCGGCCGCCAAATAGACAAAGATGAACGGCGTCGCTTCGCATTTTTTACTGAAATTTTGTTGAGTGAACTATAAACAAAAAATCGCACGATCTTCTCGTACAATTTGGAACACTCGTAATGTTTTGAAAGTTCTTTAATTGCACTCGCCTAAAGGCTCGTGCAAAAGACCTTTCCCGAATTCGCTTGGATGACCACGAAACAATGGTTTCAAGTCGAGGTTCAACTTGATGAATAAAAGAATCAAGTTCAGTCTCGACTTCAAGCCATTGTTTCGTGGTCATCCAAGCGAATTCGGGAAAGGTCTTTTGCACGAGCCTTTAGGCGAGTGCAATTAAAGAACTTTCAAAACATTACGAGTGTCTATTAATTTCCAAATTGTACGAGAAGATCGTGCGATTTCCTATACGAATCTTTTATTTTTATCACTTCATTTCGGATAATCAAAGTTTTAAAAAAAGCTTAATATTTTTTCCAAAAGTAGGCAGTCACCTTAAGAAGTGCATCTTTAAAATCCCCATATATCTTGATAGACCTTTTCACCGATACGGCGGCCATCTTGAATTCTATTGTTTTAATCAAGACATTAATTTAAACGAGGGGGCAACTATTGGAAAATTTATAAACTGCACATTTTTTTTTTACGCTTACCCCATCGGCATCCAATAATTCAAGATGGCCGCCGTCTCATTAAAAAGGACTTTTTCTGACCAAACCACCTACCTGTTCCATCAAAATTTGCTCGGTGGATTTTTTTCGCTTTTGTATCCGTCCAAAAAATTTTGCCTGTCTTGAAGTCAAGGTCCAAACCGACAACGCCCTTTCTGTTGGTGATAACACTGTAAGCTGACGAACCATCAAGAGTCATTTTACGAACACTGGTCACTGATGAATACATGAGAGATGGTTCAGGACCTGAGGAGATAGAAAACTTATAACTTAGATCAATTTAAAAGTGTACTAGTAAATTCGTAATCAACTCAACCAAAACACAGATATTTGAAAGTTATGAAGGAAATATAAAAACAGATAGAAGTTGAAGTGGGGGTGGGGCTCAAGAGCTCAAAAAACAACGAAAAGGAAGGAAGGAAGGAAGGAAGGAAGGAAGGAAGGAAGGAAGGAAGGAAGAAATTTTGATAAAAGCTAATAATGAGTTAAAATTGTCCATAGATAGAGAGATGACACATGGAGGCAGCACCACCACGTGATTGCAGCCATGACCGTACATGAGAAAGAATTCCGTTTTCGGGGGAAACTACTCCACTGTTGAGAATCCTGTCATGGCTGCCTCCACGTAATGGTGCAAAGCCTCTATTGTTGAGATACCCACCTGTGGCTCTACAAGTTCTACGGTCTGGTTCCAACAAATGGCCTGGCTGGCAGACACACTTGTGACTTCCTTTAGTGTTCTCACATAAATGACTACATTTACCATACTCCAAGCACTCGTTGATGTCTGTGAAGAAAGGAACAAAGAGAGACCATTGGTTGCCGTGAAAGACAAACTCCAGGCTGCGGTGAACACCTTTCGTGCTGCCCATTCATTCAAGATAAGACTTCCCACGTTTGTCAACAACAAAACCAACAACAACAACAAAAACACACGCAGGAAGTGACGTATCTGCGCGTACTACTATCTAAGCTATAAAATAAAGTGGTTCTTGACAATACCTTCACATACGCGACCATTGGACTGAAGCTGATAGCCCTCTCTACAGCTGCAGTTGTAACCAATATTAAGGTCATGACAGAAATGATCACAGTGACCGTTACTGTCAAGACATTCGTTGATATCTGTAAAAAGATTAGATCGTTTTCGAATTAGTCAAGTTGATTACGAACTCACTTACTCAGAGTTAACCTCATATCAGTGTCTAAATATTCACAAATGCCAACGGTAAAGTAAAGAATGCACAACTTCAACAATGCAAACACTTTGAAATTCCACGGACCTATACGAAATCGAGGCTAGCCCTGTTCAACAGAGAATTCGAAACTGAAGTATCACGTGGGAATATCATACAAAAACAACTTATATTTGAAACATTACCGGGTTTTCTGTTGTCCTACTTTTCATTTACAACACGTACCCGGAACGGTGTTCCCGTATCCCGTATAGTCGCACCGTCTTTTCCTAAGTCGTATAGCTACGCATTGTGATTGGCTATAATTCACATGAGAAGATGCGAAAGCCATCTCAATGTTACGGCATGTAGTACCTTATTACGCCCTGCAAGTCGGTACCGTAACACTGTTTTTGTATCATCACTCTATAATCCCATATAAGCAACTATTGTATTATTTTTTAATTCTCTTTCCTGTCCAAATTAAAGATTAATTGAACGTTTCCATTCGCATTCTTTCGAGGGAAAACTATGACTTATGGAATCAGTCTTGCATAGTTTGGGATGATATAATCAATCTGTAATTGGACTATTAAATGTCGGTCCAATTTGGAAATAATTGAGTTCAAAATATTCCTCCGACTGCCGACTTGGACTCGGCCTATCGGCCTCTTACAATTTTGTCAGTCCTCGGAATTTTTTTCGTCCAATTGTTTCTAAATTGGACAGCATGTATAGTCCTATTACCTATACTTATTCATGCAAAAACTACTGTTAGTAAAAAAGATTCAATTACTTACTACACCGCATGGGCTCGTCCTCCGCGTTAGGACAGTCATTATTGCCATCACACACCTGGTCTTTTGGAATACAGACCGATGTCAAGCCGCATTCAAACTGGTCTGGCGTACATGGCACTGATGGAGCTGTAAGAACAACCATAATACTGTTGAGTTATATGGTTAAGAATGATATAAATAATGAACTTACAAGGAAATGGTGTATTTTAACAGTGTGTCCTCTTATTCTATCTTCGTGAATAGACCTTTTTCGAATTCGTAAAATACTGCATGTTTAACCTTGATAAAAAACTCATTTAGGCCCCGTGCACACTATGCCGGATAAATTTGAATCCGAATTTTTATTTATTCGGTTTCATTTCGAAAATTCGTTTTCGGTGAAGAATTGTTCCGGATTCGCCCGGACTAGTGTGGACGGTAGGCCTAAACGAATAAATAAAAATTCTGATTCAAATTATCCGGAATAGTGTGGACGGGGCCTTACTCAGGGTTCGCCTAGTTTCAGCTTCAAAGTTTCCACTTCCAGGAATACCAACGACAAAGTAAAGAACGAACAACTTCAACAATTCAAACAATAGGAAAATCTACAGATCTTAAAAGGAACACGTGAATATTCTACACAAAATCGAGCAACAAAGATTTCGAAACTGGATTATTCTTAGTGAATTTTTTAAAATGATTTATTTTCTAACAGTCTGTTTACACATGTACTCACCACATCGCTGCTCATCAGATCCATCTGAACAATCACGTCTTCCATCACAACGTTTTCTACTTTCAATACACTTGATGCGACCACTTGAGCAAGCGAACTGGGAGCTAGTACAATTGGAAATATCTGGAAAAAGAGCAGAGGAAATCTCAATCTTAGACCACGTGGGTCGTTAGAACTCTTAGATATATTTTTTCATCAGGTCCTTATAAACTTGCGATTTTTGCAGCAGTTTGAGGTGGTCAAGAATTGTAAAGGATTGATATTTTGGGCATCGAGATTACCTAGATAAAGATCTCTTTAGAAGTATTGCTTACTATCAATCACGTGACTTTTTGGAGTTGACTGGGGGGCAAACAAGCGGTTGACTGNTAAGGTCATGACAGAAATGATCACAGTGACCGTTACTGTCAAGACATTCGTTGATATCTGTAAAAAGATTAGATCGTTTTCGAATTAGTCAAGTTGATTACGAACTCACTTACTCAGAGTTAACCTCATATCAGTGTCTAAATATTCACAAATGCCAACGGTAAAGTAAAGAATGCACAACTTCAACAATGCAAACACTTTGAAATTCCACGGACCTATACGAAATCGAGGCTAGCCCTGTTCAACAGAGAATTCGAAACTGAAGTATCACGTGGGAATATCATACAAAAACAACTTATATTTGAAACATTACCGGGTTTTCTGTTGTCCTACTTTTCATTTACAACACGTACCCGGAACGGTGTTCCCGTATCCCGTATAGTCGCACCGTCTTTTCCTAAGTCGTATAGCTACGCATTGTGATTGGCTATAATTCACATGAGAAGATGCGAAAGCCATCTCAATGTTACGGCATGTAGTACCTTATTACGCCCTGCAAGTCGGTACCGTAACACTGTTTTTGTATCATCACTCTATAATCCCATATAAGCAACTATTGTATTATTTTTTAATTCTCTTTCCTGTCCAAATTAAAGATTAATTGAACGTTTCCATTCGCATTCTTTCGAGGGAAAACTATGACTTATGGAATCAGTCTTGCATAGTTTGGGATGATATAATCAATCTGTAATTGGACTATTAAATGTCGGTCCAATTTGGAAATAATTGAGTTCAAAATATTCCTCCGACTGCCGACTTGGACTCGGCCTATCGGCCTCTTACAATTTTGTCAGTCCTCGGAATTTTTTTCGTCCAATTGTTTCTAAATTGGACAGCATGTATAGTCCTATTACCTATACTTATTCATGCAAAAACTACTGTTAGTAAAAAAGATTCAATTACTTACTACACCGCATGGGCTCGTCCTCCGCGTTAGGACAGTCATTATTGCCATCACACACCTGGTCTTTTGGAATACAGACCGATGTCAAGCCGCATTCAAACTGGTCTGGCGTACATGGCACTGATGGAGCTGTAAGAACAACCATAATACTGTTGAGTTATATGGTTAAGAATGATATAAATAATGAACTTACAAGGAAATGGTGTATTTTAACAGTGTGTCCTCTTATTCTATCTTCGTGAATAGACCTTTTTCGAATTCGTAAAATACTGCATGTTTAACCTTGATAAAAAACTCATTTAGGCCCCGTGCACACTATGCCGGATAAATTTGAATCCGAATTTTTATTTATTCGGTTTCATTTCGAAAATTCGTTTTCGGTGAAGAATTGTTCCGGATTCGCCCGGACTAGTGTGGACGGTAGGCCTAAACGAATAAATAAAAATTCTGATTCAAATTATCCGGAATAGTGTGGACGGGGCCTTACTCAGGGTTCGCCTAGTTTCAGCTTCAAAGTTTCCACTTCCAGGAATACCAACGACAAAGTAAAGAACGAACAACTTCAACAATTCAAACAATAGGAAAATCTACAGATCTTAAAAGGAACACGTGAATATTCTACACAAAATCGAGCAACAAAGATTTCGAAACTGGATTATTCTTAGTGAATTTTTTAAAATGATTTATTTTCTAACAGTCTGTTTACACATGTACTCACCACATCGCTGCTCATCAGATCCATCTGAACAATCACGTCTTCCATCACAACGTTTTCTACTTTCAATACACTTGATGCGACCACTTGAGCAAGCGAACTGGGAGCTAGTACAATTGGAAATATCTGGAAAAAGAGCAGAGGAAATCTCAATCTTAGACCACGTGGGTCGTTAGAACTCTTAGATATATTTTTTCATCAGGTCCTTATAAACTTGCGATTTTTGCAGCAGTTTGAGGTGGTCAAGAATTGTAAAGGATTGATATTTTGGGCATCGAGATTACCTAGATAAAGATCTCTTTAGAAGTATTGCTTACTATCAATCACGTGACTTTTTGGAGTTGACTGGGGGGCAAACAAGCGGTTGACTGGGGGGCAACTAGCGGATGCTAAGTCAAAACATATCAAAATAAGTCCTCAAACTATTGTATTTGACTATTTTCACGACATCAAACCAGAAAAAAAAAAAAAGAGATCAAAACAACCTCCAGGATTCTATAAGCCATCAAAAAAGAGCTATTACCGGAAGTGACGTCTATTGATAGCAACCTATAAGGCAAAATTTATTATATTTTCAAACATCGCAAATTGCTGCAAAAATCGGCCGTGTAAATAGATAAAATGTAAGGGGTAAAGGTAATTTATTTCAGACTGCAGAGAGTGGTGACCCTATTCTTCAGAGCTAAGGGCTCGTGTTAAAGCGTTTGCATGTCAGTGCTCCCTTTCACTCCCTCAACTATCAGTTCTACTTATAACGGGTATTTAACTCTAGACCTGATTAGAGAGCAGAGTTGTCAATAAAATTTTTGGTAGGCGGTTATGAAATTAAAATAGGCGGCAAACTGAGGTTGTATACGAGGCATACTTGTCACCAGTCTCACTCTTCTCACAAAAATGATAGATGGCGGACAACGAAGTTTCGATTGCGTTGCAGTTTTCATAGTACAGCAACAAAGATTGGGTTAAAATTTATTTTAAAGATAAAGCACTTAAATCAAGATTTACAATTACATTGTGAAGTGCCTGAGTAGGCGGCCGAATTAGCAAGAGTAGACGGCGGAATCTGCCGGTTGCCGGCTTCTATTGAAAACCCTGGGAGGAGTCCAAACAGACATGGAGATCCTGGGGATTCAACCTTGGGCCTCTGTCTCCGAATGTTGTGCACTAACCAAGTGAACTATCCCTATTCCTAGATCCAATACTTACGGCAGTTTAATTCATCGCTGCCATCAGAACAGTCATCCTCTCCATCACATCGCCAGTGTCCCAGGATGCATTCCTTGTTCTTACACTTGAACATCCCACTTGCACACGTTTTGAGTGAAACTGGAGGGCAACTAGTTTCGTCATCGCCATCCGGGCAGTCGCGATCGCCGTCACATCGCCATGACGACCGGATACATTTCTTAGATAATCCTTGACATGTGTACTCATTTGGGGGACAAGTCTTAGCAGCTAAGGAATTCAATATCAAGAATATTTTGTGCTGTTGGACTTAGTTTAGAAGGATGGGAGGAAGAAGGAAAGGGAGGGAAGGAATGAAAAAGAAATGATAAAGGGAAGGAATGAAGGAAGTTGGGAGAGAGAGAGGAAGAGAGGGGAGAAGGTAATTAAGGAATAGACGAATGCAGTAAAGGAAGGAAATAAGTTATGGAGTACATGCCAGCCTTCTAGAGAGGTAAAGAAAAAATGTTCACTTACAGCATTGGCTGGGGTTCTCATCACTTCCATCAGGACAATCATTATCACCATCACACACCCATCTGGATGAAATACATTGGCCACTACTGCAGGTAAATTGACTCGGTGAACATGTATGCACATCTACAAAAAAAATGAGTTACTATCATGAACTAACAGAAACATATCTTCTTTAGTGTGTTCCTATTTGATGTAGATCCCTTTTCAAAACAAAACAAAAAACCAAAAAAAAAAAAACAAAAAGAAGCTGATAGCAAACTTTAGATATTCTGATTGAAATTGAGTAACCAAGCACAAAATAGTGCGAGTAGAGACTATGGGGAAACAAAAGAATAATTACGATTATGCTATTGTTTCCCCAAAGCCTGGACTTCAAATGTCAACTAGTCTTGGAATAAAAGATGCCAAGGAAAGGGTAATAATTATGTTGCAAAGACAATGGATATGAAAAAGATTATACTCTCAATCATACTCTCAAGTGAGTCAAGCATAAGTAAAAAGCGCCAACGTTTTAGCAAAAAGAGAAACTTTAGAAACTAATAATCCCAGGGGGTGTACTTGGGTGGGTAACATGATGGGGGGGGGGGGGGGGGGGTCTGACGGGGCTTCATATTGCAACCCAAAAAATACTCAAACCTGAAATTTTACACCCAAAAAAATACATAGCATCCAAATTTCTGATCCAAAAAAAATACAAGACTAAAATACTTCAAAATTCAGTTTATGGAACTCACGCCTTGCTGAAAAAAATAAAATAAAACAAAAATTTTTCGGATACAAAAATCGAACTCAGAGATGTGACAACCCAAAAAAATGCAGGTTTCATTTCGAGACCTAAAATAATATGTGGCTGGTCTCTTGACCCAAAAAAATACTGGGAACGGAAATTGTCAACCCAAAAAAATGTCGGGCCTCCCCATCATGTTACCCACCCGAGTACACCCCCTGGGCTAATAATGTCAAGTTTCATGCATGAAACTTTCAAGCAACAGCAAAAAATCAAGAATTGCCAATGACATTTTCAATTCCTATTCAGTGATATTTTCAAGTGAACTTACGGGTATTGCAAATCTTTGGGTCTTCGTCAGAATTATCTCCACAGTCGTCATGCTTGTCACATTTCCATAATGCTACTACACAGTTTTTGTTTGCACAGGCAAATTCATTTGGTCCACAAGTTATGTTTCCTACAAACACAACAAGACATACAGCAATTCAATCTTAAATAAGATTAGAATTTTTCAAAATAAATGTCCATCATATTAACTTATTACATTTTGTATGACCCAATTAGTCAAGCCCTGACCCCACCATCCCATTTTATGCTCCACAAAATTTTTAACTCTGAGCCAGCACTAAAGGAATCTTAATTACATATAAATAAGCCTGCTATTTTTAAGTACAGACAGACAGACAGACTTCTTAAATTCGGTATCAAGTATTAGAATATACATAGACATTTTACCCAAATAAATGTATGAAGGCTATATATAGTTGTCGATTTATAGTATTAATTTCTATTATGTTATAATGAATTC